GAGACAGAGAGGGAAGAATGAGACATGGGGAGAAAGAGGGGGAATAGAGAGATGGGGAGGGGGGAGAAAGAGAGGGAAGAATGAGACACAGGGGGAATAGAGAGATGGGGAGGGGAGAGACAGAGAGGGAAGAATGAGACACGGGGAGAAAGAGGGGGAATAGAGAGATGGGGAGGGGGAGAAAGAGACAGAGAGGGAAGAATGAGACACAGGGGAATAGAGAGATGGGGAGGGGGGAGACAGAGAGGGAAGAATGAGACACGGGGAGAAAGAGGGGGAATAGAGAGATGGGGAGGGGGAGAAAGAGACAGAGAGGGAAGAATGCCCCCCCTCCCCTGTCCGCAGGCACCGTGCGGGCAGGGGAGGAAGAGAGGACCTGGGAGCTCACCCTGCAGCTCCTCTGGGTCCTTCTTGTGCGAGCACAGAGCGTTGCCGCGGTTACCATGGCAACGTTACCGCTCTTGCGAGAGTCAACTCTAGCCCTGGAGCTACGGGCTAGAGTTCACTCTCAACACTGTGACCCCCAGGGATTCCTGGTGGTCGCAGTGGTGAGAGTGAACTCTAGCCCCATAAACACACTGCCCCACACACACACCATACACATTCACACACTGCCCCCATACACACCATACACATTTACACACATTGCCTCACACACACACATACACTGCCCACCCATATACACACAGACCCCCATACACAGCCCCCCATACTAACATTGCCACACACATACACCGCCCACACACCCTACACATTCACACACTACACCCCCACACACACACTGAACCTTTCACACACATTGCACCACTGCTCCTATTCCCTACTACAGCCTCATATCCCAGCAGACCCCAGGTAAGTTGTCAAACTGTTCTTAAACGGTTTGACTACTTACTCTGGAGCAGTAGTGGTTATTGTGCATGGATTATTTCTTTAAATAATCTACAAGTGCCCCAGTAGCCAGCCAGCCAACCCACAGGCTGGCCAGTAGCCAGCCAGTTAGCCAGCCCACAGGCCAGTAGCCAATACAGCCAGCAAGCCATAGCCTGCCAGCCGCAGCCTGCCATCCGCAGTCAGCAAGCCCGCAGCCTGCCAGCCGCAGCCAGCAAGCCCACAGACTGCCAGCCAGCAACAGTAATTAAGGTGCCAACTTGGCTTAGGTATCAGCGAGCTATGTTGTGTTGTTATATTGTGAATAGGAACCAGAGTGTTGGAGAGACCACCCTCCAGGCCCCATTAGACTCTAGCCTCTGCTAGAAATCCCCTCCATGGCCCATTAGCCCTCAATTGTAGTTTCTACTGGGGCCTGGAGGCGACTGTTTCCAGCAGGGGATATCTAATGGACGCTGAGATGGCCTCTGTTGAAAAGACCCCCTTCCAAGCCTTTTAGACTCCATTGTAGTCTCTAATGGGGCTTGGAGGGGATTCTTTCTAACACACTCTCTAAAGGACACTGAGATAGCCTCCGCTAGAAAGACCCTCCTCCATGGCCCATTAGCCCTCAATTGTAGTCTCTACTGGGGCCTCGAAGGGCTTATTGCCCTTTTGTTCCTTGTGTCTAAAGATTGTGTAGGGTGTGGCTGGAGGCGGTGCATGGAGGCGGGACAAGGGTGGCGCTTGCTGCAGAGTATGGGTGGGGCCTGTAAGGGGGCCCTTGATTTATTTTGCCCGGGGGCCCTGAGGGTTCTCAGTCCGCCCCTGTCCGACTCCAATAATATTGCAAAGCGCTACGGAATTTGTTAGCGCTATATAATTGCCAATATAATAATAATAATAAATGCATAATATTATTTATGGGTCTTTATTTTATTATATGAAAGAAAAAGCTGAGGAAGTAATTGCAAAGTGCTAACGTGACTTTTTGAAGGGCTTCTTTTAGAAAAGATTATTTTTTGTTTTCTTCGAGTACCCTTCACTAAAGCCTTAAATACAAATGCATTTAGTTACTGTCTGAATACCCTTTGTGTTTGTGCTGTACATCTAAATAATCTAATAAGTAATTCACAGTAACTGTAGCTACCTGTCTGACTCCACTTAAAACCCACTTCAGACAAATCACTCAACGATTAGTGACCTCTTAAAGGCATGCTGACATCCAGCGTGGTGTGGAGCAATTTAGTTATTTACCTTCATTTTCTAAAGTCAGCATTGGCAATTTGTGTTCATCACAGACCGTCACATTTATTGACTACCGTAAGAATTGCCAGACATTATATGTAAATTCAAAGTGAATTTAAGACCAAAAAACTGAGCCTGAAAAATTCTCCAAGTCACCTAGGCATCCAGTTCAGCTATCAGTAGTCATTATCAGACTGGAGTGGTTTAAATGGAGTGCAAGAGAAATGGGATTATTTAAAAGATGCACTACTGAAGGCAACAGAAAATTGCATTAGGCTTGTCGGTGACATAAAAAAAAAAAAAGTGAAGAAACCACTGTGGTACTCCGCAGATGTGGCCAAAATAGTAAAAAAAAAAAAAAAGTTAGCATTTAGTAATTATAAAAAAAACAGAGTGAGGAATATAGACAGATCTATAAAATTAGACAGAAAAAGGCTAAGCAAGTTACGAGAGCTTCCAAATCACACACAGAAGAGAAAGTAGCACAGTCAGTAAAAAAAGGGGACAAAACATATTTTAGATACATAAATGAGAAAAAGGAAAGTAAAACAAGGATTAGTTAGATTAAAAATAAAAGAAGGAAAGTATGTAGAAGAGGATAAAGGTCTATCCGACTGCCTCAATGAATATTTTTGTTCTGTATTTACAGATGAAAATGAAGGAAAGGGACCTCAGGTAGGAAAAAGGACAAATGAGTCATTTGTTACATGTGAGTTTACAGAGGAAGAGGTTCTATTTCAACTGTCAAAAGTAAAGACAAATTAGTCAATGGGGCTTGATGGAATACACCCAAAGATAATGAAAGAACTTTGGTGTTCTTGCAAAACCGTTAACAGATGGTAAGGTCTTTTGGCTGATGATGCATGGGATAGGCATAAGGCTATCCTAGACTTAAAGGGACTCTCCAGCGCCAGGAAAACATGTCTGTTTTCCTGGCACTGCAGGACCCTGTAGTGACCCTCTCCCTCCCACCCCCCATCCCATGTTGCTGAAGTGGTTAAAGCCACTTGAGTGACTTACCTGAATCCAGCGCCGATGTCCCTCGGTGCTGGGTCAGGCTCCGCCAACGCTCCTCCCCCGCCGATATCAGCTGGTGGGGGAGACCTAATGCGCATTATTCAATGCTTTCCTATGGGGAATTCCTGCGACACTGGAGGTCCTCATGCATAGCGTGAGGACGTCCAGCGTAGTTTAAAACACTTTTAACACTGATAGACAGCCACTAGAGGAAGACTTAACCATGCAAGGTAATTATTGCAGTTTATAAAACCTGCAATAATTACACTTGCAGGGTTAAGGGTGGTGGGAGTTGGCACCCAGACCACTCCAATGGGTAGAAGTGGTCTGGGTGCCTGGAGTGTCCCTGTAAGATAAGGTCAGGGACTAATGAGAGTATTAAGAAAATTGGGCAGACTAGATGGGCCGAATGGTTCTTATCTGCCGTCACATTCTATGTTTCTATATCACCCTTAAATTTGAAATTACCTTTGGATTCCAATACAATTGCCACTTTATTGAATAAGCCTGTAGAGATCAAATTTTCATCAGCATCTATATAAACTATAATAAATTTCAACTGAATTTACTCACAACAAATACAATAGCAGGCTAATTCACAAAATGATTTTACCTGCATTTTGAAAATGAACCTGCAGAAATTTGCCTAGGAGACAGAGGTCGAGTGGTGTTACCATAATGGTGCTAATTGCAGATTATTATAAAGATCATAGGCGTGCGCAGCCTATTGTATAAGGGTGTGCACCCTAAAGCAGAAACACACACGCCACGTATATATATATATAAATATATATATATATATATGTATATATATATTTATATATATATACATATATATACACATACACATACATACACACACACACTGCTGTGTGTGTGAGGGTGCTGTGTGTAGGTGCTGTGTGTGTGTAGGTGCTGTGTGTTAATAAGGGCATTCATTCTCGGGACAAGAATATAATTTTGCCTCTTTATAAATCACTGGTAAGACCCCATATTGAATATGCTGTGCAATTTTGGGCACCTGTTCTAAAGAAGGATATTATGGCACTAGAAAAAGTGCAGAGGCGGCTACAAAATTAATAAAAGGAATGGAACATATCGCTATGAAGAAAGGTTAACAAATTTAAACCTATTTAGTTTAGAAAAACGTCGCCTGAGAGGGGATATGATAACATTATACAAATATATTCGGGGCCAATACAAACCATTGTGTGGAAATCTATTCACAAACCGGACTTTACATAGGACACGAGGCCATGCGTTTAGACTGGAAGAAAGAAGATTTCGTCTAAGGCAAAGGAAAGGTTTTTTTACTGTAAGAACAATCAGGATGTGGAATTCTCTGCCTGAGGAAGTGGTTTTACCAGAGTCCATACAGATGTTCAAACGGCTACTAGATGCATACTTGCAAGAACAGAATATTCAAGGATATAATCTTTCAATGTAGGGTAATAACTGCTTGATCCAAGGATAAATCTGACTGCCATTCTGGGGTCAAGAAGGAATTTTTTTCCTAGCTTGTTACAAAATTGTGCTTCAAACTGGGTTTTTTTGCCTTCTTTTGGATCAACAGCAAAAAACAAATGTGAGGTAGGCTGAACTTGATGGACGCAAGTCTCTTTTCAGCTATGTAACTATGTAACTATGTAACATACACATACATACACACACACACTGCTGTGTGTGTAAGGGTGTTGTTAGTGTGTGCTGTGCGTGTGTAAGGGTGCTGTGTGTAAGGGTGCTGTTAGTGTGTGCTGTGTGTGTGTGTGTATGTGTGAGGGTGCTGTGTGTGTAAAGGTGTTGTTAGTGTGAGGGTGTTGTTAGTGTGTGTGTGCTGTGTGTGTAAGGGTGATGTATGTGTGTGTGCTGTATGTTTGTATGTAATGTGTAGGGGCCGTTTAGTTAATATCCTCCTCCCTTCTTACCTTATATAGGGAGGGGGGACCGTGCTCCTGCCTTTCCTGGTGGTCCAGTGGAGAGTGAACTAGCCCCCTGCGGGGCTAGAGTTCACTCTCGCGAGATCTGAGCGTTGTCGCGGTAACCGCAGCAACGCTCCGACCTTGCGAGAGGAACCCGGCGCAGCTGCTGACAAGAGCTCCCCGGGTCCTCTCCTGCCTCCCTCCCTGTCTGTGGGTTGATCTCCCTCACCAGCCCACGGAGGGAGGCACATAGCGTGTGCCGCGGGGTTTAGGGTGTGCCTAGGCACACCCGGCACACCCCGTGCGCACGCCTATGATAAAGATAGCTTGCATTCGATAACTAGAGAAGCACGGAATACATTGGATGTATCAGCATACTTTGCATACTGAGTGTCAAATAGATTCAGTAATTTAATTAATTTTTTTCATTCACATTGGCTGCAAACAGTTCAATTTCTCCTACCAAGGCTGCAGGGACAGCATATATA